CACAGCACAGCCTGTGCTGCACAGGCTGCCTCAGGCTGCTGCTTGTTTGGTTGGTGTGTTTAGTTTTTTTTTTTAATCGTTTCCATGGGAATCAAACTGCTGCGGAGCTCAAGATTTTTTATAAACAGCAGCTTTTTGTATTACTATGCTCTCGGGCCAGACTTTCTACCTGACACTGTCCCTTTAAAGTCTTTTAAAATAAGAAGAGGAGCCCACACGTTCCCTCTGAGTCATTTTCCTGGGTTTGCTCGATCCCTCAGTCAGATGGGGTGAAATTCTGATACCAAAAACGTTTACAGTGTCCGACAGGTGAGCCGAGAGCAGTGACCAGCCAAAGGGTTACTCACACGCCCCGCCCAGCAGCCGCCGTGCTTGCTGTAGCAGCCCCTTCTTCAGGTACCGTGTCTGCTGCATCTCCTCTTAGTTCTAGAAGCCTTACGGTCCCCTCCTCAGCACCCTCTCTGCCTCTTGATACCCTCGACTGTCAATTTTATATTCCGACAACGTTCGTTACGTTTTATTTATCAAACCTTGCTGGAGGGGCGGCCGCGCGGGGCCCTCCCTGTGCCCGCAGCACCCGCGTGTGACAAACCTTCTGTACAACTTCCTTCTCCTCCTTGCTGTTAGTGCATCGTTCCAATGCCTGGGTGTGCTTTGTGTACAGTATCATTGTGACTTACACAGATTAAAAGAAATGGGAAGGCTCTTCTCTGTCTGCTTTGGTGGTGGTTGTTGTTGGTTTGTTGGGTTTTTCTGGGGAGACTCTAGGAACAAAGTCACAGAGCCCAAGAGGTGAGCAGGCACCAGTTTAATGGGGTTACAGCCATGGACAGGATGTGGAAACCCTCTGTGCAGATCATTCCCATTTGTCCTTTAACCCATTTGTTCCTTTTTTTTTTCCTTACAGATGGTGGGTTTATGGACTTAGCAGTGGGGAAAATCCAGCTCTTTGCCTCTCAGCGGCCATGGGGCCTGTGCTGCGGGGAAGGGACACGTGTTGCATGCAGGGACAGCAAGGCAGAGCCCCCCTCTGCCCACAGCCCAGCACAGTGTGCCAGGGCACTGCTCCCCTGGCATCATCCTCTGAGCTGGAGCTGCAGAAAGGCTGCCCCCCTGGGGCACAGGGAAGGGTGGACAGGGCAGGGAGAAGAGCTGCAGCTGCTCCTCGGGTGTGTGAGTGCAAAGGGCCTGCAGCACGGGGTGAGCACAGGGCACACAGGTCCAGCAAGGAAAGAGCCAAGAGCAGCCCCTGAAGGGAAAAGGTGCCAGGTGTGTATTTTGCAGCA